AAAAAAAAAAAAAAAAATTTCGAAACGTTACCAAGGGGTTGAGTGTCATTTTGTAGGATTATCCAGGGGGGGACCTACAAAGCTAAAAATTGTGCGCAACGTCGCTTTCTCTTCAAATCACTTTTGTGAATCTCACCAAGGGGGGAAAAAGAACATGTGACAGATTAGTCGTTCTTTTTTTTTTTATTTTTCCCCCATCGCGTAAATCTTTTTGGGGATGCATTTTGCACACAAGAGTGGGGGTGGAGAGCTCATCCAAGCGCAGTGCTCGGGTAGGGAGTCGAGTCGGGAGAGGGGCTAAGCCAGATCGACCACGCCAAACGGGTGCAGCGACACATGTAACGCGACACACGTGAAGCGCGACAGGTGACGCGAAACAGATGAACCGCTCAAGCGCCATAATATACTTTAAAGATCTCGGAGTTAGGAACCCCCCCCCACGATGGGGCTTCAAATCGGGGGCCGCGTCCTTAAAGGGCATCCTGTGGGGAGGGACAAATGTGCAAGGGAAGAGATCCGCAGCCACCCTGGGACAGCTCATCGACAGGAGGAAGAAAGAGTTAGACCTGTCCATTAGTGAAGAAGTAATACGAAGGTACAAAAGAGCAAACATAAAGAAAATACTCAAGGGGGATAAGACCAAATGTGGGGCTCTGCAACAGGGTGGTGCGAGAGAGACGGAGTGCCATGCAGAGGAACCGCCCCCCCATTTGCTGAGCTCCCTCGTTCGGCTTCCAAACTCAGAAAAAAAAGGTACACTTCTTCATGGGGAAGACAAAAAAGTGCAGTGTTCCGCTCCCATAATTAAAAAAGGAATGCTTGACGCACACCCAAGAGGGTTACACAAAAGGGAAGACACACAAGTAGAACAGGACGAACGTGTAAAGGATGCGGTGGATAAATTATTCACTTCAAGGGAAAAAAAAAAAAATATCATGAAGAGAATCGTTTTTAAAAGTTCCCACGATTATTTGGAGCTCGTTAATAAATATGAAGAGGAAAGGGGTAGGGACGATGATAAGTTTTATAATTGCCTGAACAGTGCAGGTAAAAATGGGGATACATTTTTTCACAAGGAAGGGGAAACAAACCCATGTAGTAGTAATAGTAGTTCTGCCCCCATCGATGACGGTTACCTGTTCGAGGTGGATAATGATATGAGTGGTGAAGCGAATGTGCATGTTGGTGTGGTCCAACCAAAGGAAAGTCAAAGATTGAACGTCTCCATCTTTTCAGAGGTAGGTAAAAGAGAAATCCTCGAGTCATGTAAAAGGAGAAGGAACATGCAGAATGAAATAAACAAGAACAGTGATGCGAAGAATATGTTTAATAAGGATATATATTTTTGGTTGAAGCGGAAGGTGCACAGATCCGTCGGGTGGCAGCTGACCCCAGATCGTTTGAACAAAGGGGAAGAGGTGATCGATGTGACGGAGCTGACGTGCGCCACGGGGCAATCCCCCCCGGAGGTGCAGACTCAGGGGTGCGCACAAGCTGTCCCCAATGTGGACACCTACATGCATGCCGCTGTGCAGAGTAGCGTGAAGAGTAGCGTCAAGAGCAGCGTGAATGGGAGCGTGAACGGCGAGGCAGACCTCTGCATGGATCGCGTAGTCGCGGAGGGGAAGGACCCCCCCACCAGGGGCACGTACTTGCAAAGGCGTGCGGCCCCGCTCCACTTTTTGAACAAACTTAGGGGGGAAGCGGACGACAGTGCTAGCAATGGGGGGTGCGCTCAGGAGAGCACTCCGGACAGAACTGAGGGGGGAAGCCAGGACAGAAGCCAGGACAGAAGCCAGGAGCATGCCCCCCGCGACGCCTACCAAGGCATCTTACACAACACCACGAACGTGTTCAAGCAACTGCGAGATAACTACGAGCTCTTCAAAGAAAAAAATTTGTCACCGAACCTACTGGAGAGTTGTGAAAGGTACGTGAGTTACTACTACGGAATTGAAAAGGAGGAAAAGATTAAAGAGGTGCAAAAGTACCTAGACTTAAATGTGTACGACATGATGAAGGATGGGCGTTTCAGCATAGAAGATTACAATCGCCTTTTAAAAAGCCAAATTCTTTTTAACAAGGAAGAGGAGGCATTTCGTAATTTCAATTTATTCAAGCAGCATGATGTTCAGGTAAATGTAGACACATACAACGCGTTGATGTATGCCTCCATTGTACACAAAAACGCAAAGCTAGGTCGATTAATTTATTTACAAATGGTAAAGGATGCTGTGAACCCTAACCAAAATACTTATTGCATTTTGATTAAGGCACATATGTTAGACCAGGATATTCGAAGTGCTTTTCACCTGTACAGAAAAATGATTAAAGAAGACATACCAGTGGACTTACCCATTTATTCTACCCTAATCGATGGGCTCATTAAACACAAATATTACGAAAGAGCTGAGTCATTTTTTAATTATATAATTAGTTACAGAGGTGTCACCCCTGATGAGGTCCTCTACACCATAATGATTAAAAAATGCGCTTATAAAGGAGAGGCCGAGAAGTGCCTTAACTTTTACGACACCATGGTCAGCAACCAAATGAAAATTACAGACGTCACTCTGGTTGAAATTATTCACTGCCTTTCGAAGAGGAGAGATTACTTTTCACAGGTTTTTCATTTTTATAATATTTATTTGGCTAATGAAATGAGTGTGAACCACCGGCTGGTTCTGTATTTAATTGTTGCTTGCTCCACCACAGGGAATGTAAAACGGTTGAAGGAAGTTTTGAAGAGTGCAAATAGGTACCGAGTTAGAATTACCGACGAGATGTGCTGCTACATCATACGTACCTTTGCTAATAACTGTCTCGCTGAAGGAATCACACTCAGTGAGCGCCACAACAATATCCGGTACGCTTGGGCCGTGGTTCAAGAATTGGTGCGTAGAGGGAGAGTAGCGGGTGTTAGCAACGCTGGGGGAGATAAACGCATCCATGTTAGTGCCACCACTGAGGAAGAAGAGAATGCACACACCACCATGAATAACACCTCTCATGATGGAGGAATAATTTCGCTCCCTAGTGGAACAAAAATTTTGAATAGCATTGTACAGCTATATATAAATTGTGATTACCACGATTACGCCATTAGCATGCTCAAATATTATACCCACTTCAAGTGCCTACCAGATGTATACACCTTCCAACTTTTATACAACCTTTTATTTTACAAGATGGAAGACTATGGGCGGGTTCTATGTCTTTACGATTACATGGTGAATCAAACAGGAGTGAAGGCAAATGAGAAGACTCTGAACCTGGTTCTGCGTGCAGCCATTAAAACGAAATCTTCAAAAAGTACACTCTATGTGTTGCGACAAATGTATATAGCTAAGGTGTACCCAACGGCCAAAACCATAAAGGAGCTATACCATGTCGGAAGACACATAACTGATATACAAATACTTATTAATAATATGATCAAGCAACAGAAGAAGGAAATTTATGAAGAGAATGTAAAGGAGAGTCAACTGATTCAACTTAACATTGGTGAGTATGAATTGAATTTGTTTCGCGAGGGGAAGACTTTTAAAACGAAATCTCAGTTGGACCAAGTGCGAGAACAATTCTTTAGGAGGAAGGAGCGAGTCGAGAAGGAAAAACGCATGTCCAAGGGGAAAAAATCTTCAGACTGGCTGCCCTACGGCCAGTACCTCCAGCGCAAGCGCAAGGGTGGCGAAGCCTACGCACAACGTGTGGACCGCCCGAAGCCCCTACCCTCCTTTGCTTAGGGGATTGGGCCATCTGGCGTGTTATAAAAAAAAAAAAAAGTCAGCGATGTGGGGAAATGTTTGTGTGACTTTTGTGTGGTCATATTACTTGACAAACTTTTACCACGAAAAGGATTTTTTTTTTTTTTTTTTTTTTTTTTTTTTTTCCACCTTCGGGAAAAAACTCCCTACTTTGGGCAACGCACACTCTCGCAGTAGCAGCTTTAATGGGGTGAGTCTGTCATTACTCATGGAAGCCGCCTCGAAACAACAGAAGAGGTGGCTTCAAAAATGAGGATCCACTTCGCTCCAAGGCGAGTGTGTGTGTGTGTGTGTGTGTGTGGACAAATGGGTTTAGTTATTGTTAAACAGGGGAGATGCAAAAATGGGCCAAAAGTGGCCACACGGGGAGGAGATATCCCCAAGTGTGTGTGTGGGGAAAAAATGTACAAAAAAAAAAGACAGTGAACGGGCACCGCGTGCAGGTCGTTGATACAGCTACGCGGTTGGAACTACGTCGAGCCGATGTCGCTCATTAAATTATTGTCCACCAAATGGATTACGTACGAGTTGGCAATGTTCACGAGGGCGGTGACGATGAACAACGCATTCGTTAACAAATCGCTTGTGTAGAAAAGGATGAAAATTTTTAGCAGGCACAGGACCACGTCCATGTAAAGCAGTTTCCTGCAAGGGGGAGGGGCAGAGGGGTAAGTAGAAGTGAGGTGAGGTGAAGTGAAGGCGAACTGAAGGCGAACTGAAGGCGAAGCCGTTATGGCGGCAATGGGTGTGGGGGGGATATGCCGCCGATTGGACGAGCCAAACAGATTAACAGGATATTCTTACCAGACGAAGAACACCAGGGTGAATCTAACGTGCTCGTATATGCTGTGCGCGGAGAGGAATTTCTGCAAAACGGGGGGGGGGGGAAAGGAAAGAAGGCGCAGTGGTATCATGAGTGGGGTTCGTCTTTCACGTGCACGCAGTGACTTCGTCGAGAGAGAGTTGCATGGGCGATAACACACGCACACACACAGACCCACACAGGTTGCCAGCACCTCTCCAGCACACTTACACTTTTAATTATATTTAAAATGTGGTAATGGGAGAGGAAGGAGGACATGTCGGCGATCGTTTGAACGTGTGATGGACGTAGGGCTTTTTCGAAGTAGTTTTTTCTTTTCCCTTCCCTGTCTTCTGGCACTGCTACTGCCGCTACTGCTGCTGCTGCCACTCCTCCTGCCGCTACCTCTACCGCATGTGCGTATTGCATTTGTGGGTTCGTGTGAGGAAGCCTATCTTTGTATTTCCTTTTGCTCGTCTTGTCCCTTCCCCTGCCTATGTGTCCTATGTGTATGTTTACATGGTTGGGGGGAGGAGTCCCTGCGAGTAGCATGACCTCTTTGGTGTCTTCCGAATCGGAGTCACGTAAAAATTTCAGCATGCCTTTGCTCCTCTTGAAGGAGACGCCCTGGTGGTAGGCGAAGCTCCAGCTGTTATAGTTGACGTACTTATTAAAGAAAATCTTCGGCTGCCGCGGGTTCACCAATTGGTTGCTTGCCCTCATGGTTATCATCGCCCTCACAAGTCCTACATTAAAAAAGGGGGGTAGCAAATGGGGTAGCAAATGGGGTAGAAGAAGGCGTAGAAAATGGGGTAGAAAATGGACTGCATGCGTGATATTAGCTCAGGAGACGACACAATATATGCGTGGCAAGGGTTGCGCTAAGCGGGTGGAAAAATGTGTTGTAGCGGGTTAACAGCGGCTCATGTGGACAGCGTCTCTGCCGCCTGCGCGGCTGTGCCGCTTTTCCCTCTTCTTACTTTTGAGCGACTTGAGCAAGCGTGTGCAGAAAAAGGTCACGAGCCACCTCCACCAATATGTGGCCCTCCTATACGAACGCGATAAACTTTTCCTGTGTATGCTGAACAGGGCTCGTAACATCACAATGGAAAATCTTATGAGGATGCCAAAGTGAATCAGATAATACGCATATATAAAGAGGCAAACAGAAAATAATTTTTTACTATAATCATATACGTAGAAGAGGAAGAGGAGGTCGAAAAAAATATTTAACTGATTAATGAAGCCGGAAATAATAAGGAACAGATCGTATCTGTAGCTGTCCACAGTGTAATTGTTATTTTCGTATTGAATGTACTTCATGAGTTCTGCGTTGATGGTCTCATTAACATTTTTGAGTTGATCGAGGTGGTAAAATTTTTCCTCGTCCGCGGGTGGCGGTGGTACCCTTTCGCTTGCTGTTCGTCTCCGTCCCTCCTCAACCTGGTTTGCCTCCTGTTGATCATGCTGCTCATGACGCTGCTCATGGCGCTGCTCATGCTCGTCGTCCTCCTGCTCCTCCACAAGGTAGTACTTCTCACTGGTGAACATTTTTTTTTTTTTTTTTCCCTTCGCTCTGCTTGTCCTGTCTGGTCGTGGGGACCCCTTGGCTTTTTTTCTCGTCGCCCCCTGGGGGGACTCGCTGTTTCCGTGCTCCTTTTTCGAGGGGTCACTCTGTCCATGCTCCTTTCTCAATGCATCACCGTGCCCCACTTCTTTGCTGACCGGCGCACGTCCCCCCCCGGGGGAGGAAGGACCCAGGAAGCGGCCATAAATCCTCTGGCGAACCTCCTTTATATTGTACCGCTTCACCAAATCATACTTTATGGTGTTACTTACAATGAGGTCGATATAAAAAAAGAGGAAAATATAAACATAAATGACCAGGATGATGGTGTTGTTGAGCTCCGTCTTTGAGCTAGTGAGGACAAGGACGGTAATGGTAACGTAAACAAAGAAAAAAAGAAACGTACTGAGCAGGTAGTACACACAAATTTTAATAAAGTGCTTTTTGTTAATGATGTATGGAGAGGAGCAGTGCTTCGTCACGCTTCCATGCAGACCCAGTTCAGTGATTTCTGCCTCCGTCAGGATCTGTGAAATTAGTGAGTTGCCGCTCATGGTGTTGCGGTGGGGGGGGGAGTGACAAAGTGAGGGTGACAAGGGGAGCTAAAACCAACGAGAGGTTCCTTCACGTCTCAGCGGCTATACCCCCTCGGCGGAAATAAAAAAAATCAATCAAGCAATAGCAAATCGACAGAACAGCTGTCGCGAAAAAAAACCATCAGTAGAAGTGACACATCCCCCCTATAAAACCTCGCAGGAACGAACAGCTTGGCTCCTCACTGTGCTCAGCTGGCATGGAAACAAACAAAAAAAAAAAAAAAAAAAAAAAAAAAAAAAAAAAAAAAAAAAAAAAAAAAAATCTCCTTGGGTGGCTACTTCAAAGGAGGGATTCGTAAAAAAAAAAAAAAACAAACACGTGACCTCACGTTACAATCGCTGCTAAGAAAATATAAGCAGACTGATCCAGGTTGGAAGAGCAACGTAGGAGGAGGGGTACAATGCAAGAGCGCATCTCTCCATACGAAGCTTTCCCCTTTACGGGAGCAATTCAGGTCTGGGAACTGCCAACGTGCTATTCGTTGTTCTGCTCCTTAAATTCGTGTTGCATAAAAAAAAAAAAATATTGCCGCTCTTCCTTTCGTGCGTAGAAATATTTAGTTGACGCCGCGCCAAATCTGCACTTGGCGTTATGCCTCGCGTCATTGTAGGTTTCTTCCGTTGCCGTACCGGAGATCCGACTTGCCCCACTTTTGTTAACCTCTGCTCCCTTGCATACTGTGAACGGTATAGCGGCCTATGCGTGCGTTCACGTACATATATAAAACAGTTGGAAAAATCGTAAAAAAAAAAAAAAAAAAAAAAAAAAAAAAAAAAAAAAAATTTATGCGGTATCTCTCCTTATTATTATGTACCTTTTACCAACTTGGTTAAACTCAGCTGCAGGATTGCAACAAATATTTTCAACTTTTTCAATGGGAATGGTGCACACCGAGGGGAATGGCCCCACGTGAAGGGGAGCCTCTCCCACACGAGTGTCCCTCGAGGAAGAAATTTCTCTACTGGAGAGGCTTCCAATATGATTGCGCCTTATCGCGTAGCCGGTTGTCCGACCATATGTTGGAATTTGTTCAAATTTGTTCCAATTTGATTATCGCTTTTGTTTTTTTTATTTCCTCCATAGCTGAGCCACGTATTTATAAAAGAGAGAAACAACAGCAGGGGAGAGAAGGTCCTGTCGGTGCAGTTGGAGAGAGGGGGCGTTTTGGCTGAGCGGTGCAACGCAGTTTAAGCAAGCAGACGTGTTGCTAACCTCTAAACCATGACACCCTTTTCACAATTCCAACGGGGGGGGGGGGACACTTTTATCGGCACACGTGCGTTGCTTGAGGGGAAGGAGTCTTCCTGGCGTGTGATCACATGTGTACTTAAAAGAGGTGCTTCAAAGGTCCCCTGCTGCATACCCATACGTATAAAACGTATTCGCAGACGGTCCTCACGTAATTGAAGTATCTTTCTTTCTCTCCTGTTGTGTAGACACAGTGGTCGGTTGAGTTGATTAAAAGTGCGTGTCCTCCCTCGCAGGATTCACCAAGTGCACGGCGCCGTCGCCACTCAGTGGGTAACACGCAACACGGGTAACAAAATTTTTCTACACATGGTCTACTCTCCCTTTTTTGTGCGTAATGGGGGCTAAAAGTAAGGCAAGAGAAGACCCCCTTAAGCCGATGACCCCCACACACACACCTTAACGTGTATCCCGTTGACACTATTCCATTCGTGTGTAGCGCTTGTCTGTCCGACTAACCAGTACAACACAACTATGTGCACACATTTTTTTTTTTTTCCTTTTTTTTAGTAGCAACGTGCAGCATCGTACCTTTTTGTGCCAAAGGGAAAAAAAAAAAAAAAAAAAAAAAAAAAAAAAAAAATGTGTGCACTTTGGAAAAATCTGCACAACTGAGAGGAAATTCCTCAATGAGCAATTCTTCAAAAACAGGGAAAAAACAAAAATATAACTCCACCAACCCCACCGTAGATGAAATTTCCTACGTTCAATGATTCTTTTGCAGAGGCTTCACCTTTTATATGCGATGCATGCGCAGAGTGCCGTACCTATAGTCATTCATTTGTCACATTTTTACCTTCACACCCCCAAAGGTACAAAAAAAAAAAAAAAAAAAAAAAAACTCATAATTGTTCCATTTGCAAATTAAAAGAGTGTAATAAGAATGAGGCACATTACATAAACACATACACTTACTCTCGTAAGAGTAGATATAGTGACCGTAAGAAGGCTCGGCGTGTCACGTATATATATATATATATATAACGGCCCTTGTCCCTGCATGAAGGGTTGGTACGTGCGCCACTTTTTTGGCTGGACGCAGGAAATCTCTCTTTCCCATCGGGGTCGGGGCCAGCTTTCCTTGGCACCGTAAAAAAAAAAAAAAGTACATACTCATAAAACGTTTTCGAGCAAAGGAAACTTTACAAACGTCGCACGGGTGAAGGAAATGTAGGCACACGTTAAGGTGTACGCCAAGCAGGCATGCAAGGAGAGAAAAAAGGTGCGCCCTTACCCCCGTACTCACGATACGTAGTTCCTGCCCCGCTCCCCCCCCCTTGAGTGTAAATCAATTATTTTTGCGCGAGAGGAGCACACTCAGGAGTTTATTCCCTGTGAGACTTTTTACAGAAGGGGTCGTTTCGCTCGGTGCTTCGCTCTGTACTTGGCTCAGAATGTTGAATTGGCGCGCTTCACCTGCGTGGCTTCTAACCATTTTGTAAGCGAAGGCATTCTCACTCAGCTAAGTAGCGTACACCCAGTTCATTCTACCTGTTTCGTTGCTTTTCTTTTTTTTTTTTTTTTTTTTTTTCTGTGTTCACATGTGTACACGTTTGAGGTTTTTTGCCTTCACATATAGTTTGCTGAGTTTGCTCCCTTTGTTGCCTTTTGTAGCGCATCCCCCCGCATGAGTCGTGCGCATTTGACCCCTCCCACGCGAATTTCGTGCCGTAGCCGCACACACGTTGTGAGTGCGCGCGCGTAGTTTATTTTGCACGTGCCGTAGCCGCACACACGTTGTTAGTGCGCGCGCGTAGTTTATTTTGCACGTGGGGTGGAGGACGCAGAGGTGTAGCGGCGGCGAAGTATCCTCCTCCCAATCTGTTCACAATCTGTTCACAATCGGTTCACAATCGATTCACAATCGATTCACAACCGCTTCGTAACTGTTTGTAACTGCTGTGTAACCGCTTCAACAGCGCTACGCTGCCGGTACCCTGCAGCTACGCTACCGCTTCACAGCCGCTGCTGGCACCATGCTGGAGGCGCAGCCGAGCGGAGAGAAGGAGGGGGAGGAGCAGTCCATTTCGCAGTACCTGCGAAGCCTGTACGGAAATGGGGTGGCGAACAAGAAGGAAGTGATGAAACACCTGAGGAGGCGTTTGTACAATGACCCCAAGGTAGAAGATATATATAAAAAATTAAAAGAGGTCCATGGAAACAGTGGCATATGTACAGAGCAATGGAAGGAGGGCAGTTTTGCTTTCAAGTGTTACAATTGTGAAGGAGACCCCACATGTGCCATTTGTGCAACATGTTTCTTCGCATCTAATCACAAGAATCATGTGTACAGGTTGACACACACAAGTGGAGGCTGCTGTGACTGTGGGGACACCTCATGGAATATTAAAGGTGCTTGTTTTGACCACCGAGGGATGGAAGAACAACACCTAGTAGACAAGTGCATACTGAAAGAGGATATAAAGAATCGAATGAAGGAAGACTTGAACAGTCTAGTGGGTTCATTATTTAAAGAAATAATTCTTAAAGATGGGTACTTCCTCTCATTAGCCAATGCTCAATATATAGAATATGCATTGGAGTTTTTTAAAGACTTAGGTATTACCAGTTACCTCTTCCGGCAAGTCATTTGTAACGTATTAACACCAGCTAAACTGGACTACCTGATCAACCTACATTACTCATTGTACACAGCAGTGCAAAGAGTTCTTTACTCACTTTACCTCTCCCTCTTTGTGCACCCATATTTCAAACAAAGCTTTGCATTTAAATTATCGCAGTATTATAATCTTGTAGTTCGTGTGCTAGATAATAAAAATTATAACGATAATAATTATTTAAATGGTTTAACAGTACAAGTGTTGACGGTACCAGAAATTGCCTACACATTAGTAGTGAATAATTTTTTAAATGATTTAATTGAACTCATTGAAGAGTTTTGTGTGTATAGTCCTACTAGCAGGTGCATTATGTTCACAAATTTATTACGGTCCGACATTGAAGTAATTATACGAATTTGTGTAGACATGAAATATGTTCTTTACCACAACGATGTTATTAAAATTATTCTCTTTAACAAATATATTATTAAAAAGATCCTGCGCCTACTTACCCTACTACACCGGATGAACTCCCAAATGAGGTACACCAAGGCTCATATCATTTATGAAGATTTGTCGAGCTCCTATGCCATCACCATAGAAAATTACCTCCTTCGTGTGTTCGAGCCGTTGGCTAATTTTTGTAAAAGAGAAGCCAATGCCAATTTCAGGAACCTCTTTTTATTATACCAGCTCACCATTGAAAGTATTTGTTCTTTGAATTTGTTTCCCTTCTCGGAGGACTCTTCCCCGGACGTGGGGGCTACTCGACCTAAGCGAAAAAGCAAACGCGACCGCCCCTTCTTCAGGGTCAAGAAGTGCATCTTGGCCGCTGCCCACCGCGCGGCAGAAGCGGGAGAAGCGGCAGACACGGCAAATGCGGCAAACGCGGCAAACACGGCAAATGCGGCAAATGCGGCCAACGCGGCAAACACGGCAAATGCGGCAAACGCGGCAGACACGGCAAATGCGGCAAACGCGGCAAACGCGGCAAACACGGCCAACGCGGCAAATGCGGCAGACGAGGGGAGCGCGGCTCCTGCCGCTGCCAACAGTGGTGCGAGCGCCAAGCAGGAACAACCGCGCAGGCGACTCAAGCACCTGCGCTCGATGCACTCGCCGCTCGTCCGCTTCTTCATGATGATACTCAACTTTGACATTGTGAAAAAGTGCATCGACGACGTGTACTGGTACAAGTACATCTACCTGAGGAGGACCTCAAGCAAGGGAGACCAAGTGGGCACTTCCTCTCCGGGACCTCCCACAAGTACATTCCAGCGTGCTTTCATCGTGCGCGCCTTCCTGAAGGACTTCTACTCCGTCGAGCAAACACCTCCCGAAATCCTCACCAAGAGGAAAGACATTCAACAAAGATATGAGGACGATGGAAACAAAATTAAAATGAAAATCTTTCACCGGAAGCCATTTCTAAACCATTTGGAGCAAGTGAAAAATGAAAAAACCAGAGCCTACCTCGCAGAGCTAAAGGACTTGGAGGAGAAACATTTCAAGTGGGTCATTCAAACGATCGATTCGAAGGAGAAGGAAAAGGAGAAGGGAAACGAGAAGGGAAACGAGAAGGAAGAAGAAGAAGAGGGGGACAAAATTGTATACAGAAAAAGTATTCAGGAAAAAAAAGTCAAAGTGAAATGCAAAAATGATCTAATTGAAAAAAAAATTAAAAAAAAAGACATTGAATTTAATGAGTTCCTAGAAATAAATTTTAACGAGAATAGGAGAAACATTTACCTGAACCCTTTGTATATCGACCTGTACATGAGAGATGTGTTTGACTTTCTTAATCTCTTCACCCTGAAACTGTTAAAGTACATTATGTTTGTTAATGTGCACGTGTTAACCTTCATTTATGAAATAAAATACGGCTATTGGGTTCGTAACGGACCACAGATGACCTTCCAGGTAAATGAGTATGAAACGTCCTTCTTCTTACAAAGCGACCTTATAGGACTTCAATTCGCTATGCTAATGATGAACATTCTACCCATTTATGAAAACCAAAGAGTTAAAATTGACCAGGGTACACTGGGTATGGTGAAGAAATTCTTTTACGAGTACATTGGATCTGGGCGATCTTGCAGGGAGACATCTGTTGCGAGTGATTCAGTGCATGGGTTCACCTCCGGCACGGATGATAGCAGCTCGAAGGAAGAGATTAAGGAAGAGGATGTCACACCTGGGAAGCCGCTTTCATTTGGTCATGTGGAAAGAAGAGTGGACCAGGGGGAAAGTGTAGCAGGTCAGGTAAGCGAAAATGCTGTCACTCATGATGAGGACCTCCAGGTAGAAGAACACAACCTGATATATGTTAAGAGGCACTTGCAAGGAGGAGAAAAAAATGTTTCCAGCTCAGTGTCGGGAGAGGACCCTTGTGGGGATGACACAGGGGTATGCACATATAGAAGACAGAGCGATCTGACCAAGGTGGTGAGCTACAACGAGAGAATAAAATTCGACTCAGTATATAATTTCTTGCGGAGCTACTCGCTTCTACGCGAAGTGAAGGATGAGGAGGGAAAGAGCCCCTCTAGCGGTGCCCCGAAAAAACAAGAGTGGAACGACTACGTGAAGATGTTCATGCAGGAAAAAATAAACAACCCATTTGTAATTCTGTACCAGCTAATTTTCAAAAATTTCAGATTCAACCTGAACGTAAAGCATGAACAAGACATCTTCATGGAAGTTCAAATTCATCACTTGAAAGTAGTGCACACAATTTTTGAAGACATTTACACAGGAAAATTAAATATGGACTCGAGGAAAATTAATCACGTTTTTTATTTTCAATTTTTCTACGACCTCCTAGTTAGAATATTCAACGAGCTCTACTACTTTGAGTTCAGCAACATCCCCAGGAAAACTTCTCCCGAGAAATATAAACAGAGAGGAAAGTATTATGTAAAAAAAATACTTATACAACTTTTAGCCTCGAAAGATTTTCAATACTTTCAACTAGAGGATGAATTCCCTAAGCAGTTCAGACACCACCCTAGCTTTTATGAACTTACGAATAAGTATGGATACACCACTCACATGCCTAGGAGCAATGTGAATTTAATTAAACTGAATAAAAGCGCTTGGTTCTTGTATGATGCATTTTGGCCCATTGCAAATTATAAAGATTTTCAATCGGCAAATGAGAAATGTATTAAGGAGGAGAAGGCATCCTACATTGGTTGCTCTAGGGAGGAGGACAAGGAATACATGAATGCCTCCTTCGTAAAGGTGCAGAACCTTTTGTTCTACGCGTTCAAGAGGAGCTGCCTCGTCCCCATGCTCATCACCATTTTTGTGGTCAACGAGGATTTCCAGCGCAGGGCAGAGGGGGAAGCGCCTCGCGGGGATGAGCCCGCAAATGTGGAGGCGGAGGCAACCCCGCAGAATAGCGAGCCCGCAAATGTGGAGGCGGAGGCAACCCCGCAGAATAG